CACTTACACAACAAGCAAGAGTAGACATTTGAAGAACAGAACAGGATCTCCAGCAGAACTACACAAAGTTACCAGTGATAGGTTAAAACCTGACAGAAGAATACTGAGCAGGTGAGACTGGTAACAGCAAACAATTACAGCAGGGAGCAGCGTCTACAGAGGTGCTGCAAAATATGTGGGCACAAAACCAGGCTTGCTGTACTTGAAGGATCTAGTAAAAGTAGCATTTAAAATTCTGTTTGGAGAGGACAAACTAAGAGGCGTTTAAAACTCCAGTGAGGACAGTGAAGTACTAAAGAACCTGAAAAGGTCAGAAACATGGCAGGAAATGAAATGGGATTCAACCTACAAAATTGCAACCTGCTTCATCTGGGGAAAAATAATCCAGAAACAAATGACAAAGAGATATTTGCAAAGCAATAAAATGAAACATAAAAACCCCCACCTCTTGGGGGAAAACAGCAAACAGAGAACTGGATATCAATTTGCAATGTGATAGGGCAGTAAAAGCAGCCAGCACAACTTTGGGTGACTTGTAGAGCACAGCTTGTCACAGAACAGGGACAGGATGGTCCCTTTTCACACCGTACTGATGGGAACTTGCAGACTAGGGGCATTTCAGAGTAACTCGACAGCAGCAATGGAAGAATCTGGATAGACTAACGACAGAAGAAGGTAAACCCATAAAATCAAGTTCAGCAATAACTGAAGATGGGAGGCAGGGCCAACACTGAGGAAAGCCCAATGTCTACAGCCATTTCACAGGGTGCCACAGGAGTAAAATGGGCAGTCTTGCTCCAAAGAGAACAGGTAATTGGAGAAAGTGGTTCATTATGAAGATCTGTTATCCCACTGGGAAAAAAAGAGAAGACAGAGGCTATGAAGGAAATCACACTGCCCAAGTCATTTACAGATTAGACTGATAAATCAGCTGAACTGCCCTGTATGCAGCCCTTCCGGATTTACACAGCACAATGAATACTGGCCGATAAATGCAATTTCTCTCTGGCTTCTAGGAAAATCTTGGGAAAGGCTTACCAGGAGAAGAATATCTCCTCCACCAGTTGTGGCCCATGCATGACTGACGTGACTGTAAAGACTCCTGAAGTGAGATCTAGATCAAGTCCAAGGTGAGGACAGAATCTGGGACACATACAGGTGCTAAGGCTCAAGCAATATGGATCTTTAAAACTTGAGAACCTTGAGAATACACACTTTGCAGAGTATTAGCTGAGCTGGTGCTCCATTCAATCAGGTGTGTATTTTCTACTACTGCTTCTCAGTGTCACTGATACTTATGCTCTCAAGTTACTGCTTTTGACATTGCAATCAAAATCATAGCTAGCAGAGAGATGGATGCACAAAGGAAAAAACCCATAAAATTAAAATCACCTGCTGTTGACATTGCCTCAAACTTTTGCAACCTCACTGCATATTTCTGAGTGATGGCATGAAAGTGGTGAACAAAGGAACAACCAGCACAGGCTGCCTCTTTCCAGGTGAAGTACATTTAAAAGAATCAAGTATTTACATAAGAATTTTCTGTGGCCATTAATAGCGTGCCAATGTCAAACTATTCTTAACTAATCCAGCCTGCTTCCCTGACAGAATTCATTAGAATTGGGTAGTCAGGAAGTTATCTCCTTGTGACGGTCAGAAAAGAACACGAACCCTTGCAACAGCAGTTCAGGAATTATCTTAAACTTGCACTGACCTGGCAGAAGCCTGAGAGAAAGCCGTCACGGCAGTTTCCTGCACTACTTGTTAAGTCGGACACACATCTAAATATAAATGTTCTCTACGTGTGCTGCACTAGGACTTACAACACGTTCCTAGGAGCGAGTTTTCCAAGTGTATCTAGAGCCATAACAGCTTTCCTGTTTTCAACTGGTCTTTAAGACTTTTGGCAGTATATGACAAATATGGAAATAATCAGAACTCTTGTGTGTGACACTAGAGTACTTGGAACACATAAAACCCACTCGAAAAAAAGGTATCAAGTCACAGGCATTAACTGTTTATGAATTAGATGTATGCTGCATTGTCAACAACTATTTTTTTTATGTTCTCTTCTGCATTAAAATTTAAAAGTATTAAGGCAGCTTTATACATAAATAACAACCATAATAAATTATATAATTACATAATAAGTTGTAAGATTAGCCTTGAAAAAGTCCAGCTTAAAGTCAGATTTAAAAAATATTTTCTTGTGCTTTAAACACATCACCTTTTAAACTACCCCCATGAGCTCTAAAGCCATCGTCTGCTTCTCAGCCGTGTGAGTTTGGCTCCGTGTCCCAAGCACAGGGTTGTGCTGGCTCCTGAGTCCCGACAGAAAGCAAGACCTTTTGAAGCCAGAGGAGACTTAACGGCCATGCAAACATCATCACAGTAACACAAACTGCAGAGTCCTCCTCAGTGTTCTACTCAGTGCAGTAACTTTGCTGGAATTTGAACATGCCCTTTAGGACACCCTACAACCTCAGTTAGAGTTCTTCGTCTCGCTCAAAACTGATCCAGTAGTTAAAATCGAGCAGCTTAAACTCAGGGCTTCTACAAACTTCAACCATGTAATTAGAGAATTGCAAGGGGGCTATAATTTAGTTTTGTGTCACGCTATTAAACGCAACTGTAATTAACTGGTCGACCCAACTCTGCACCAGTACTGGAAGCTTACACAAACGCTGTCAGTCTCAAGAGAAGGTCAAGATGGTTCTTACCGTGTTATCAACTGACGTTCTGCAGTGGTTCAAGACCACGCTTAAGATCAGTCACTGCCATGAACTTATATTCGTCAGGTTTGGCTGTTCTTGTGTTCTTGCTGTTATTGTACTTACATTCTGTGTACTCGCTGTTGTACTCCCGTTCGTCGGGGTTAGCTGTCCGTGCGTTCCTGGAAGAGTCGACACGGCCCAGCATGCTCAAACAGTACTCGACTGGAGCCAGCAGCTCGGGCTTGGAACACTGTTCTCTCTTGATTCCAAACCACACATACTTGAACAGTTAACAAATGCGGCAGGGGGATATTGGTACACAGCAGTCTGAAACATGTACAAACCCTTTGTTGGGTTTTTTGTTGTTTTTTTTTTTTTAATATCCCCGAAAGATTTGGTTGCTTCATTATATAAGCATATGAAAAAAACCCTTACCAAGTAAAGCTTCAGTGCAAGGTTGCTTATAGGTGGTGGTGTGTGTTTTTTTTTTAATTTTTCCCCCCTCCTACATTATCTACATATGCTCAAGTTCATTTGTTTATCTAAAAAAAATTTTGATCAGATTCTGTAGACTGGAGAAATGTAGCAGCTGAGAAAGGTGTTGGGTTTTGGTTGTTTGTTGTTGTTGTTGTTGTTGTTTTTACCTTGTAGAAGGTTGCTGGGTTGGAAACGTTTTGCAGAGTGTGTGTAAACACTAAAATAATTTCACAGTGCTTGTCTATGACAACAGTACTTCAGAATCTAGTGGAAGCAGAAATGTGGTTCAGCTCATCTGTCTCAACCTCATCTCTGAACTGACAGTTAACAAGCTAAAGGGAAGTGTGTCACCCAGGCAAACACAAGCTGGAGATAAGGCTGGCTGGAGGCCCTCCCTTTCCCAGTTGCTATCTGGTTTGTCAGCTGTTGATAACATCATTGCTACTGTGTCTCACAGAAGTGTGTCAAAATGTGAATTTTAAGTATTTGCATATCTTGAAACAAACTATAATAAAAGCACAGCTCAGCTGGTGAGACAGCTGACAGCACAGTCAGGTGTGTTTCTCCCCACCTTGAAATAAACTAATCAAGCTGTACAGTCACAAAATTAAGACTTGTACAAGGAGAACAGTAGATGTGTTTTCTCAGGGATGCACTTAGAGTTTCTCATGTAATTTTGCATGTGCAAATGTACTTGCCCAATGGTAATCCTTGACCTCGTGGTTCTACAGATCAAGCTCAGTACCAGACACGTAAGACACACACATGTTCACGACACAGCACACCTCGGTTCGCTCTTCGGAGCGTGTGCACCTCGCTCACACTCCATCACGCTGACTGTTCTTTCCTGCAACACTGACGGTAGACACTTCAGGATTCCACGCGTGGCATAATAAACCACAGGAAATGGAAAATCCAACGGGAAGACAAAACAACTAGAAAATCCAACACTTTGCAATATTTTTCGCTAAGCTTTCTGACAATAAAATTTACTTCAGCACACGGGATCTCCGTCAGTACAACAGGACTTCTTAGCACAGTATTATCTATTTATAAAGTAAACTCTTGGCCACAAAGAGTAGAAAGAGCCTTCTCTCAGAGCAGCCTTTTATAGCGCTCGGCCCTTCCCTCTTCCACATTCACCGTCAGTACTAATGAGCATTCACTGACTTTAAATGTAATCATTGTTGTTTTGTAGAGACGACGTTTTTAACGGAACACGGGAAGGAAGCCAAAGCTTCCGTCCTGATGTGCTGACTCTTAACATCCACCTATGTACGGGTGAACAGACAAGCACATGAACATAAGGACACGTATCCACACTTTTTCTAAGTGAGAACTATTGCACAAAATAAAAATTAGAATATAGTGACACTATATTGATGCCAGAACTCTTCAAACTTTTGAAGAATTGTTTTTCTACACAGCAAAATAGAAGCTGGGGTTGAGCAGGGAGAACAACTCTTCCATTTCAGGTCTGCATAAGAATTCTGTGGTGGAAGTTTAATCTCGTTACATACAGCCTTTTAAAATTTGTGCTTTAATCTAACGCTGTAGCTTAATAGTGCCTATTTTATGTTGCAGCTTTTCCATGCCAATTTCACTCCTGTTACAGTATCAACAAATGCCATCTAGTAAAGAAAAAGCAAATTGAATGAAATGGGCTACGTCACTAATAACAGCTCATAGTAAATTTGATTAAATTATTGTGTCTTTGGGCAAGGAAAGACAATCAGATCAGAAATTGCAGCAGGTATTCATACGCATTTTTACAGTATTAATGATCAGAAATACAAACTGCTTACTGACCTGGGGCCGCTCAGAGTCGCAGTGTCCCTCACTGCCTGTGCAGTTTCCGATGCGAAATCCAGAGCTCCAGCCACAGGTTTGGTTACTGTGCCCACCAGCCCCTTCCCAAGGCCCGATATGAAGCCACTGACACCTCCTTCAGTTTTCACGCCTTCGACCGTTGAAGTTATGACACTTGTCAGGCCTCCAATGATACCTAGCACAGACGAGACAGCAGAGTGGGCCACAAGTGTTACCTCTAAAAATTACAGACCGGGTCACAGCTTGTGTCTGCCTGAACGATTTACTGTCAGGTGTGACACAAACGAGCTGTGCGATTAACGTAATGCAGAAACTGTTTCAAAACTGGTGACAGGAGATAATAGCTTTATATGATGTATGTGCAGCACACATGTGCCTACACACAGACACTAATACCCCACAGATTTAATTCATTATTAAATACATGTTTTTTTTTCTGTTTCTACACTGTTCTATTTCCCAGCTGTACTTACACAAACAGTCCTGATCTGTTCCTGAGGTGAAGCGGTTACTTACCAGGTGACAAAATGCTATAACCACAAAACCTTATACAATTTGAGATAGAATTAGGAAAGTGCATTACTTGACTGGAGAAAGTTAATGATTTTAAACTGGCCTTGTGTGATTTAACTGTGATGCTGCCGACAGATGCTTCTGTGCACATTACCATTGCTGAGAATCTGGATGCTCTGAAGAAATCAAGAACCTACTGAGGCTTCAGAAGACTTGGAACAGTTCTTGTTACCTGAGAACACGCTTTACAGGTTTCACATCTCCACAACTGGAATATCACAGTATTTAGTGAACTGGCTTAAGCACTCATTTAAAAGTGCTGACCACCGTCTGGCTCTTCAGCTTTCAGCAACCAGGTGCTCTTTTAGGGTCTGTAACTGAAGTACAGACCAGGCAGCACCTTCACTTCCAAACTCGAGAAGCACAAGGTATTTAAATCACTTCTCTTGAATAAATACAGTTTATGGTTAACTCCTGCATTTCAACAGACAGGATATAAGAATTATGTGCTTTTTTATCGAGAAACCTCTCTCATGAGCCACTTGAATACCTACAATGTCTCTTTATGAAAAAGTCCAGCATAAAGACTTGCTCAGCATAGAAAAGATTGCCTTTTTAGCAAAAAACAGGTTATCTTTTACGCAGGCCGCAACAGTTGCACTAAAAGAATGACATTTAAACAAACTTGAGTCAAGATGATGCAAAATATAAATATTTGATTTAAACTTGGCTTGTATTAACTTTCTTCAACAGATAAATCATGAACTAAATTGATGTGAGATTCTGGCCAAATTAAGACTAGTCCACTGCCTTTTACACAAATTCATTTATCTAGTTCTTAGTAGACTTAGAAAAACTAAAACAAAACCACAAAACAACCCAATGGGTGAAATGTTACTTTAAACTGATGTACTGATTCCGAGGAAACTCAGGTTTCTGGAACTGAAAGCAAACATAAGAAAGCTGCAATCCAGCCATCCTCATTTTTATTTTATTGTCTGACCCTCAGAAAGACTTTGCACGGGTATTCTATGCCTCCATAAAGAAACTGGAGTTTTGGATGAACTTTCTTTAAAATTTAATTTTAATTTGCAAAAAAGCTTTTACTTGCAGTTAGATGTGAAAAGACCTTATTCTTAAATGTGGTTTCTGTCAACTTAAAAACCAAACAATCCCCCCACCCCGACCCTGCAAGCATTCAAATTCAGATATAAAGCCTGCCACAGCTCCACTTCTCCGGCTTCAGATCATCGCCCAGGAGTAACTCAAACTGTTCTGTTCAGTCTGGTCGTTACTTTTCAGAGAGAAATGAGTTAATGTTACAGCTGAGGGTTACCATGTGCAAGTCCTTGGATTCCGGCTACAAAATGTTCTCCGCTCGTTGCAGCATGGTAGCGAATGTATTCTCGTTCTGTCTGGTGTCTGTTATCCATTGTCTTTCCCAAACCATCCGACAAGGTCCCAGCGAACTGTAAGAGAGGAACTTTTCTGTTATTAAAAGAACAAAAGGTGTTTCTCTTCTGTAGATTTACTGAAGAAAATTCTTAGATTCTAGTTGCGAAAATACAGATTTATACAGCTCATTTTGTTCCGCGCGCACAGACACTCCAGCTTTTTTGTCAGGAAGAAAGCTCTGAAGGACATTAACCCATGCTTTCCAGTGGTGCAACTCGAATCCAGAGGTGACAGTCAAAACCACGTAGGTGTCCAGCTGTAGTGGTCAGCCAGAATAAAGTAAGTCTGTGAAAGACGTACCAAAAGAAGTGTCAGTGACCCAACTGTAACCTTTCAAAAACGTGCAAGAATGTTACTTAGATACAAAGCTTTTCTTCTGCAAAGATACGTGAAAAGCTTCAAAGCAACTATGCCTGTCATGAAACTAAAACATTTGCAGGAGTTAATTAAATTCTTTTTAGTAACACAATGTAGAAACGTCTCTGTTGTGAAGAGAGTTGGTGGGTGAGCCATGCCACGTTCACTGCAGCACGTGGGACGATCTGCTGCGAGACGGCTGTCGATGAGTGTCCACAGGTACTATGGACTGTAAAACAAAAGTCTGAGGGGAACCCTGAATGTGTGCGTGGAGCCTTTTTACTCCTTACATTTACGTTTAACAGTATGGGGGAAGACTTGAGACGTACTTACAGACAAAAGAGGACATCTAAGCCCAAACAAGATTTGTTCTGAGAACTCCGACCATTGATGAGTACCAGTCAATGAAAAAACACCAAATAAAAATGATCTATTGTCATCTCTTGACCTTTAGTTTGATGTAATCAGATATAAACCAGAAGCTTGGTGGAGGGAGGGAAGCAAGAAAAGGAGACAAAAAACCTGAAACCTTACCTCGTATTCAGATATTACTATAGAAAATGACTCCTAGCAGACATTTTCCTGCAATGATCTCCAAAAACTAGCTATTTTTTGGTTACATGTAGTTGTTCATGTTCTGTACCTCTCTCAACTCGCATCAGCGTTCTTACAATCTTCTCTTTTCAATAAATAAACAAACTTTTTTCCCGCCCCCAAAGGACAGATAATTTATTGCTTTGTTGAGTCTTAGACGAGGGCTGGGGAATGCACCAGGTGCCACAGGAATGTCAAAGGTACCGGATGGCCGCAGCGATGCTGAACTTGTTGCCGTCCTGCATGATCACAGCTCCTCTACAACCAGTACTTCATGATTTAGGAGCAATTGTATTCGGACACGGCCCTTTCCATTGCTCCTTCTCCTTTGCATCCCTACTAGTTACGTTAAGGAGACCTACGTGATTAAGGTGTGCACCAGAAGACAACTAAAACCTGGTGTGAAATTCTGATTCTAACACACTAAAGAAATAGACAAGCAGTTAATTTACATGCTTAATGCAATGACGAAGTTCCCCTCCTTTTTCTGTCATTTTTTCCAAGGCTGTGCTTCTTTTTTACTAATGACATGATTTCCCAGTTTCAGCTACTTCTTTCCAGCTCAAAGGCAAACTAGTCCAGTGGCTCCAATTATCTAAACAAGTAGACTTTAACAACATGAACAAAAATTAAATCCCACGACCCTTCTTGTGACTTGATCATATGGACACTAAACAGAGCAATCAGTGACTGAATTACTCCTGGCCTCTCTGTGAACTTAATGTAAAAATTGGCCCAGAAACACAAACCAACCTGAAGCTATCTTAATTTAACTCTGTTTAAGGTTGGGATTTTTTCTGGACAAATACTTTGCTTTAAGAGGATTAGAGTAGTTGCTATAAAAATGGAAAGGCTCAATAGGCCTTCAAAATTCAAACCTCATTAAGGAATTTGTCAAGGCCTGAAAATGATTTTTCAAGAACACATTTTGAGAGTTACATTAGTGTGTGATCGCACAACCAGCCAGCAG